GTCATAGTTTTGGTATTAAAAGCCCTGATGCGTGAGTTTGGGAGCTGCACTAGAATTTTTTAATGCACTAGGTTCTGTATTTCCTCTCGGATACCTTTAGCCTGTTAAAGAGAAGTAATATAATTTACATAAGACGCGATATTAAACTACATTGGCTGTGAAGGAATACTTGCAACGGCGATGAGTATCGTAACAAATTATTCGATTTATAGGGGTTAAAAATCTGGAATGATGCAGCTGAAAACTAATACGAAGCGAGGATAAGCTGGGAAAGAAAAAATAAATGGAATTAACCCATAGATGGAAGCCGTTTTCTGTGTGCTCGCATTGGTATTAGCTCGCGATCGCGTAGGACGCCTTTTCGTCTCTCTCCAAACTACTGAGTTTAAATCCAAGATGTCGCTCACTCGATCAAATTGCGCTCGCTCGCAAAAATACGCTAGCTGTATTGCAGGCTACATAGATGGTTGTAAGAACAGGCACGATTTATCCTCACGCATTTGCCTTTCTGCTCTTTAAAAGAGAACAAACGAAATGAAATAGGTAGGTATATAATTATATTACCATTTTATTAAAAAATACTTGAGTTTAGCAATTAAATGTTTGAAAATTCATTATACTAACCTACAAATGGCGACATAAGTAGTTGAGACATTTGGCGGAATTGAATGCTAATTGCATTATTTCTATTTTTCATTACGGATTCGGTTTATATTGAAAACCACCTCCACCCCTCCTTTTGGTGACAGAGGCAAGGTTAAGGGAACAGAAAATCTAACATTGTCATTAGAGAGGGGCTAGTATCATACAGGTGAAGAGTGAAATTCGTCTAAAGTACTCCAAAATAGCAAGGTGTCTCAACACTTCTGTCGCCCATCGTAGTACTGTCTAGTGTTCCAGTAGGTTTGTAAGCGATAATAGCTTCCTTCAGTGCTTAAAAAAGATACGAACTAACATATATAACACATGCTTCTCACGTAAATTGAAGTTGTAATAAAACTAATTTCTACTAAAGCTTTCAATTGTCATATCAATTGGAGACTCAGTCAGCAGCGGATTTAAAAAGGGGTGGGGGGTGGATTGGGTGGCTAGCCATCCCCTTTCGGAGAAGCAAAGCATACAAAGAAATTGAAAAAGATTGTGAAAATTTTGCCAAACGCTTTGACAGGTAACTCATTGTAATTTCTACTCTATGGCGTTGCTAGTATTTCTAGTATAACAGTTTTCAATTAGGTTGCATACGCTTCATTAATTCTGCAACCCCAAGGTACCAGCCAACTCCCCCGCCCCCGTCACTCCTTCAAAAATTCTGGATCCACCCCTGTGATCTGCAAACCAGGGCCGTAGCCAGAAACAAATTATGACTGAGGCAGTGTCCAAGAAATGAGTTGTGACTGAGGCAATGTCCATGGTTTAATTCTCTTCCAGGGAATTTAGGGTGTTTTTGATGACTTTAAAAAACAAAAATGAAAAAAATGACTGAGGCAAGTGCCTCGGTTTGCCTGTTGCTAGCTACGGCCCTGCAAACAATCATGTTCGAAACTGCTGTTAAATATACTTGTCATTAAACAAATGTCAAATTACTTGAAAATAGAGATATCTCTGGCGTTTTCCATATTAAAGGCGAGACTAAAAACTAACGTTTTTTTTTTAAGAAAGTAATATTTTTTACTATTTTACACGATCTTCTCTTTTCTAAATTTTAAAGCACTTATAATGCCATTTCTTAGATTTGCTAATCTTCCACTAAATTTGACTGTGGGAGACGCGGTGGCCTCATGGTTAGTGCGCTCGTCTCGGGATCGAGCGGTCCGGGTTCGAGCCCTGGCCGGGGACATTGCGTTGTGTTCTTGGGCAAGACACTTTACTCTCACAGTGCCTCTCTCCACCCAGGTGTATAAATGGGTACCGGCGAACTTAATGCTGGGGGTAACCCTGCGATGGACTAGCATCTCATCCAGGGGGGAGTAGAAATACTCTTAGTCGCCTCATGCTACAGAAACCGAGATAAGCTCCGGCCTGATGGGCCACTTGGCTCGAACGCAGACTTTACCTTACTAAATCTGACTATACATTGAGATATGAAAACATCATGAAAGCAAAAAAAGACGACAAAACGTTGCATAATATTGTCATCACAGAGACCGCTAAATTTATAAAAAGAAAAAACCCTTAAGCATGCTACCTGCTACAAGCTATTGAATCGTCTACTTCAGTATGTATAATGTCTCAGGTGTAGCCACGAGAATACGTCCATCTGGTGCTGCTGCTATTCCAGTAGGACTTGGTAAATCAGTGATAGTTTTGCCTGTAAAGCGACCGTCTAAAGAAAATTGCTGAACTCGTTTATTGTCACTATCACATACAAGAAGATTATTGGAGCTGTCTAGAAGCACACCATTCGGCCAATCAAATTGTTCGTCACGATTTCCTCTTTTTCCAAACTTGTACAAGAAAGTTCCAGCCTGACTGAAAACTTTAATGCAGTTACTGCCTCTATCAATTACTAGAAACTTGTTTTTATAAGGAATGCAGCTTGTTGGAAACACGAGTTTCTCTGGGTCGCTGTCTCCAAATATGGAAATAGTTTCTCCTTCCTGTGACAACACTTGTATCCTATGATTGCCCCACTCGGTGACAACAATGCGTCCTTCATCATCTAAACAAACATCAAGTGGATTCTTAAACTCTCCTTTCCCTGCACCATATTTTCCAAAGCGTTTCACCAGAGTTCCTGTCTTGATATTTATTTGTTGTATTCTATGATTCTGTTCCTCTGCAATTAGAATCTCGTTGTCGTTTACAAACGAAACACCACTTGGATTGGAAAAATATATATGTGGATTGGAAAAAAGTCCTCTACTGCGAAGTTTCCTTAAACAGTTGCCATCTTTATCGAATACATAAACACTGTCGTCATCGAAATCTGTCACAGCTATCTCACCTTGATTGTTGACAGCCATTCGATACAACCTTTGAGGTACGTCTCCTGAGAAGAAGTTTAAGTCCAGCTCGCCAACGACAACAAGTTCACGCTCTTTCACCTGCACAGTGAAAGGACAAGTTGGAAGTTTCTCGCCATTGATCTTCACTTCAATGCTGTAGGCGCCCGGTACTTTGGGAATAAATTTCAGCTGAAGGTTACCGTCCTCGTTCTCGCTAACAATCACATTTGTAACATCTTTAGCGGGTTCAATCAGGACTTCAACTTGATCTTTCATGTCAGCCTGGCTACTCGTCTTTCCTTCAGAGGGTTTGAGGCATAACGGAAACTCTGCTTCTACGCCAGCCTGAAGAATTTGCTCCAGTCCTTCAAGAGTTAATCGATCTGCGACTGCCTTTGGAATTGTCTCAATAAAACCTAATTTCAAGTATTTTGTAGAAGCAGCGGTAAATTTCACGAAGGAGGTCTCGTCATGTTTTGGAACTTCGATTTCACGCAACACTTCAAATCGTTGTTTCAAAGTTTCCTTGTTCCTCATGATATCCGAGCTTGAGCTCCTTTCTGTCAGATTTTTAGCAAACTCAAGCGCTTGCTTCATCTGTTTGAGCAGAGACTGAGCTTTCTGGATGGCGGAGTTAATTCTCTCAAGTCTTGTCACGCGTGTTTTCTCGAGTGATATAATCGCCTCGCGCTCGCGCTCTCGAATCACTTCGATTATTTGCCCAGCAGCTTGCGAGACTTCGCGTTTCGCGGTTGCGACATTGTTTTCCAGCTTAGAAGCCGTTTCTTCAAATTGTCGAATCACTTCAGTGAGCTCGTTCACCCTTTCGTTGATTATTTCAGCGCCAGACATGATATTGGGTTTCTCGTCATGAGCTGCTTTGTCGAGTAAAACGATCTCGTGATTTCGGTGATCCGTGACTATGCAAATTTGGCAAACACAAGCTTGGCACGAAAAGCAGAAAAATCTGGTGATCTTTTTCTCGTGGAACTGCTGCGAACAAAATGGCTGTCGCTTCAGCAAGGCTTCGTAATCTTCTGCTTTAAAGTCCTTAACTGGTGTGACTTTGTGTCCTTCGAACGACTCACTCAGCATTTCGTGTGCGTTGTAACAGTCTGGGCACATAAACTTTCCACAGTCAAAGCAATAGTACATCTGAGAGTTGTTTTTCTTACATTGGGAACAAGTAATGTTACTTCCGTCGCCAGTCCGTCGAACGGCAAGGAGACTCAACAAACTGTTGTGGAAAAAACTGCTCGGTAAACTTTTGAAACGGTTTCCTTCGGGCAGATCGATTTGGGCTTGGCACTCTGGACAACGGAACTTTCCTTGTGTGTGGCTGGCTCTTGCATGATTTTCCAAACACTGACAGCAAAATGTGTGTAGACATGATATGGTTTTGGGTTCATTGTAGGTATCGAGACAAATCGAGCATTCAAGATGTTCCTTGAGGTCTTTCAAAAGGGACTCCATCGCTAGGCGTCGCTTGTTCAGTTAAGCTTGCGAAAGACAACTGCATTAAAATGTTATTTAATATTCCTTGAAAACTGAATTAATTAACGTCATAACTGTCTGCTTGAAGCCAAGCAAATGTCAGAAAGTTAGTTACGTCAGGAACGTAACCTTGAGTATTTCATCCGCTACACATTTTAAAATGGAACATCTTGACCTGATAGCGACTTCCGTTTAGAGAGATGCATTTCGCTGTTTTAAATTTGAGAATTACAAAGTAGTCCAATGCAATCATTTGGAGAATTCTTAACAAACATAGCTCCACCGTTATCCGAGAAAACAGAATTGATAATTGCTATAACCATTACGAACTTTGCTATTTTAATCTGGTCAAAAAGCCTGGCTGAGTTCCACTGTAACCTAAGATTGTTGATCTGTTGCGTGTAATAATGTGTCATAGTTGTTTGCTGGGAGTTTTGTTTTGAGACGTATAAGCTATTTTTATTTTCAAACTGATTGATTATGCCAGCGACGTTGTAAAGATAGGTACGCAAGGAGTGCACATCACCTGCTTATATTATTTTAACAAGAACCAACAAACTCGCCGCAGGAAAATAAATAAACACAAATGTAATAGAGCTGAAAGCTTGATTAGGTACATTTTTAGCTCCAACATCAAGTTCCACCAGTAAAATATATATTTGTAGTTACAGTTGAATCGCTTCACAACGGCCACCTTAGGGACAGATCAGAGGAAAGTGGCCGTTGTAGAGAGGTGGCCGTTACGGGGAGGTAGGGATGTAAGTAGTCTTATCTGCCACACTACGCCCATTTTGACAGGTATTCGCCAAGTGACGCCATCAGTCAAAGTACCGCTCATTTGCATATGTAACGGTTCTGATTGATCCGTTTGAAAAAATACTACTTTTTTGGATGGATGGGCGATGGTTGGTTGTCACGCAAAAGGGAAAAAATAACGCCACACAAGAAATTTCGAACAACTCTATTTGGCAAACATTTCCTCTTATGTTATAAGCCGGACGTGTGCGAGTTCTGGGTTCTGGCAGTTCTTAATGTCATTACAGGACTGTGAAAACAAACAGTGCTCGTAAGTGTGTTTCTAAGTAATGCAATTGAAAGTTGTGGTTTTAGCAATGTTCTATCTTTTGTCTATGTGGACTCCCGGGTATTGTTTGACCTCATTGGTAGATTAAAGGACAAATTCAGAAAATCTTAATCCTGGAATAGATGAAGAGTCTGACCTCCTACCTGAACAAATAAAGCAACAATGAAGTGTCAAGACCTTTGATTGTACGTTGTCGAGACCTAACTAGACCAAAGCAGTTGATTATCCATGTATTTTGACTCTGAGGATTTGACTTCTTTTGAATCCTTTCAGGACAAGTTCGGTCCCAGTTTCCTTCCAGGAAAAGAACTCTAAGTATTCTGAATGCAAAGCGAATTAGGTTGTTCAATCAGATACTCACTGCTTGTGTTGCCGAGTTGAAGGAATAAAGGGAACGGTCACTAAGTAAAAGTAACTTTCTAACAACTGGAACTACAAAGAGAGCAAAGAGCTTTAAGGAAAACACACCTGGACGCTCTGCACATAAATTAATCTTGGTTACGTTTTTCTCCTTGTTAATGAGAAAATATGCCATTCAAGGAAACGAAAACAGTTTCGGTGTTGCTATCGAGTTTCAGCATTGTAGAATTCTGGTTGTACGCTAATCTGATTGACTGAGCTATCGTACACTATCAGCCATAAGTATTCTACTGGTATTCTGTAATGCAAATGCTGTAAACTGATTGGCTGAGCTACTCGTTCACTTAGCAGCCACTGGTGTGCAATGGCTAGAGGTCGTCTTCAAAATGGCAACATTTTTTTTATTGCTTTGATGTTACGAGGACGATTTAGAAATACAACTGAATAATTCAGTTCTCAAGAGCACTTACGAAAGGATATTTACCGTTATGCGATCCTCTTAAGAACCTCAGAAAATTTTCAGTGAACTGATCATGACAAATGCGCGTTTAGAACTGCAAGTTTTAAATAACAGTTCAGTCCGCGCGACGCTAAAGGTAACAAAAATTATTTTAAAAAACGTTTTCTACGATATTGTCGTTTCTAAATTTGAAAGTACCTGCGACACCATTTCATAGATTAGTTCATTTTGCTACTGAATTTTGAATATATGTATATGGACTATTGAACAACCGTGAGGTCAAGATGGCTGGATATCGGCCAAGTTCTGTTTTTGCGTACTTATGGACCGAAACGGAGTCGAAGTACATAAACAAGTAAAACGAATGAGGCCATTAGTAAATCGCCTTAATATATAGTTAGCTCCGTGAGCGGGCAAGATAAACCCAATCCTGCGCTGTGATTGGCTACACGAGCGGGCAGAATGGCGCTAATTTGCCTGCTCGGGATTACCCGCTGTGTCCCGCAAGTTTTTTTCTTTTGACCATATAACAAATCCTTTATTGACCAAGCTTGTTCGGTGAAGATGACCAGATATTGGCCTCGTTCTTTTTATTCTACGTGTTTGTGCACCTAGACGCCGTCCAGGTTCATAAACACGCGTAAAAAAGAACTTGGCCAATATATATCCAGCCATCTTGACCTCGCGCTTGGTCAACAACCCATATATAATTGGGTAATGATGTTACATAACCGCGCTACAAGCTACAAACAAGAGATCATAATCTCTTGCTACAAACTATTAAATCATCTACTTCAATATGTATACTTTGTTAGTTGCTAGTCACGAGAATACGTCCATCTGGGGCTGTTGCTATTCCAGTAGGACTTGGCAAATCAGTAATAGTTTTTCCGGTGAAGCAACCGTCTAAAGAAAACTGCTGAACTCTGTCATTGTTCCTCTCACATACAAGAAGATTATTGCAGCTGTCAAGAGAAATGCCATATGGACTTTTCAACTGTCCGTCTTCACTACCCTGTATCCCAAACTTGTACAAAAAAGTTCCTGACTGATCGAAAACTTTAATGCAATTATTACCGGTATCAGAAACAAGAAACCTGTTTCTGTAAGCAATGCAGCTAATTGGCTTGTTGAGTTTCTCAGCACCGCTGTCTCCAAACATGGCGATCGTCTGACCCTCTTGTGTTATGACCTGTATCCTGTGATTGTCATACTCCGTTACAACAATGCATCCTTTATCATCTAAACATACATCAATTGGACAGTGAAACTGTCCTTTCTCTGCCCCACGTTTTCCAAAATTGCTCAGAATAGTTCCTGTCTGGATGTTTAAGTGCTGTATTTTACAATTCAGTTGATCTTCAACAAGAATCACGTTGTCCTTTAAATATGAAACGCCAGATGGTAGGTTAAATACTCCAGACTTTGCTCCTTTGGAACGACCGATTTTCCTTATACAGACACCTTCGTTGTTGAATACATAAACAAGCTTGCACTCTTATCTGTCACCGTTATGTTGCCTTCTGTGTTAACAGCGATTCCAAACAACCTGTGAGGCACGTCTCTTTGAAGAAACTTTAAGTCCAACTCACCCACTACAGCAAGTTCACGTTCTTTCACCAGCACAGTTAGAAGACAGGTCGAGAGTTTTTCGTTATTGATTTTCACATCAATGATGTAGTCGCCCGGTATTTTGGGAGTAAATTTTAAGCACAGATTGCCGTACTCTTTCTCGCTAATAATCACATTTGTTACATCTTGAGCGGGTTCAGTCAGTACTTTGACTTTATTTTTCAGATCAGCCTGGTTACTGATTTCTCCTGCAGATGTTTTGGGGCATAACGTAAACTCTGCTTCCACACCAGCATGGAATGTTTTCTTCACTCTTTCAAGCGTCGATCTCTTTGCGTCGGCTTTGTACCTGTCTATTTTGTCGATAAAACCTAAATTGAAGTTCTTTTCAGGAGCTGCAGAAAATTTGATGAACGCAGTCTCGTCGTGTTTTGGAGTTTCAACTGCACGCAGCATTTTAAATCGCTTCTTCAAAGTTCCCTTGTTCCTCATGATATCCGAGCTTGAGCTTCTTTCTGTCAGATTTTTTGCATACTCAATCGCTTGTTTCATTTGTTTGACTAAAGACTGCGCTTCCTGCATAGCAGAGTTGATTTTCTCCAGTCTTGTTGAACGTGTAGTCTCGATTGAAACAATCGCCTCGCGCTCCCGTTTTCGAACTTCTGCAATCACTTGCTCAGCTGCTTGCGAGATTTCACGTTTAGCGGTTGCGACATTGCTTTCTAGTTCAAAGATGATTTCTTCAAATTGTCGAATCACTTCACTAAGCTCGCTTAGCTTTGTCTTGATCGTTTCAGCGCAACACATGATGTTGGGCTTCTCGTCATGAGCTGCTTTGTCGAGTAAAACGATCTCGTGATTTCGGTGATCCGTGACTATGCAAATTTGACAAACACAAGCTTGGCACGAAAAACAGAAGAATCTGGTGATCTCTCTCTCATGGAACTGCTGCGAACAAAACGGCTGTTGCCTCAGCAAGGCTTCGTAATCTTCTGCTTTAAAGTCCTTGACTGGCGTGACTTTGTGCCCTTCGAACGACTCACTCAGCATTTCGTGTGCG